CGCATCGTAATTAATGGCAACGTCCTCTCGTTGTTACTGCTCAGACCGCGGATACAGCGGCGAGGCGGAACCAAAACCACCGTCTCTATGGGCTCGGGTCGTGCACTAGGAATATCAGAAAGGCGGGCGAGGGCTGTGTGTAGAGCAGGTACCGGTTTAGAGCACATGACAAATATGACTTCTCAAACGTCTGCGGATAGGGACCGGACACTCTTTTGCATCTGGACATTCCATACTAGATTCTTAAATCCACAAAAGCATGCAAACGATTAAACCTACTCTCTCGGTTCCTAAATATATCACAAAGAAGACTTATCACATCAAGCTGCACGGTCCCAACTCCTCCCGTGTCAACCCTGCGCGGCGACCGGGAGAAACCCTAGCGCCACCGCGTCCTCGTCACCGCGTCCTCGTCCCTCCCCCGACCTCTCCTCCTCGCCGCCGCCGGGGCGCGCCTTTGCCCGGCGTCGGCGGCGGCGGGATCTCTTCTCCCACGACTCGCTGGATCTGGCGCGGGCGGATCGCGGCGGTTTTTGGCGGGGCGCGCCGGCGCGGGTTTGGGGGCGACGGCAGGGCTCACGCTCGCGGTTTCCCCTGGCGTGCGTGGGAGTCCGCTCGGGGCGCGCGGTGGCGGGCGCTGGGCTCTCGGCGGCGTTCCGGCATGTGCAGGCAGCGATGGTCCCTGTGCGCGGTCGGCGGCTTCGTTTCTGACCCGGACGGCGCGGGGGATGGCGGCGGCCCGGCGTGGCTGGCGATCTGGATAGGTGTAGCAACAGTCTTGCTATTGTATGGCTTTGTAAGGTCTTGTGAGAATAATTAATGAAGTGGCTGTATGCATCGCCCAGATGCAGAGGCCGGGGTCATCCTTCTTTTCTAAAAAAAACTCGTTTTAGATATTCCATTATAAACTGTATATAGAGAATGGTCTGGATTGGTTTGGATTGAAAATATGTACAGTTTGGATTGGTTTGGATTGCACCCCTTGCTGTTTGGTCTAATCTGGTTTGGTTGCTGGACTTATACACGCATGGATTTGGCTGGGTTTAGTCTGGATTATAAACTATTCCCAGGTTTATATGCGGGACCCATTTGACAGAGGGCAAAAAATCAAAATCCAATGTAAAGAGTGGCAATAGATCAATTGCAATGTATGCAGTGGAAAATTGTCAAAGTGCAAAGTAATTGATGGCAAAGAATCAAAAAACCCTGAATTTATATTCAAAGGATCTTGACCTCTTTGTAGTTCAGTGTATCTCCAGTGCGTTGAAGGAGTTGAAATATACTAATATGTAGCCATCCAGATACAACAAAGAACAGTCCACAGAATACAATTCCTCACACCTAGCAACAGAAAGAGTTAGCACTCATAGAAGGAAAACAAGCAGTAGAAGTCTGCAGAGGCGAATCACTATTAAGAATAACAACTGGCAACCACCAATTCAGTAAGACAGAAAGATGTTCTGACTCTATGGGGAGAGACAGCTGATATGTGGATGCAGTTAAAGGGGTTATGTACTGGTGTAGTGCTAACTGAGAAAGGATAGTTGCTTTGGCTTCTAACAGAATCTGGGAACTTTACAGTTTGATTTCTTTCAATTTTGAAACCTAGCCCATGTTAAGTGGGACGATGTGGTGTGTGAAATTGCCTTTAGAAGTACAACTGTTTATTTAGTCCCTGCCCTGCTGAAAAAGATTATTCTGACATGAGATAATCTTGCCAGAATAAACTGGAAAGGTAAATATACAAGATTTAGTTTTTGTGATTGAGATATTCTATCGAGCACTCGTTCTTTAGAAGCGAAACTCAAGGATGCGGTTAGCCAGATCATGGGAGGTACTGTGAGGGGTATTAATTGTGTTCCCAGAATTATTGTGCTTGTAATTTCTCTTGCTGGTGCCATGTATGGCATCTGCTCTTGGTCTTGACCTGTGTTGTCTCAAGTACAGTAACAGTTAGGCTGAATTCTGCTGTCTTTTTTTTGGACGAAATACGGTTAGCAGTTAGCACTGCTTTCATTGCGCTTAGAAGGGTTCAAACAAGGTACAGACAGACGAAGGGGGAGCAAAAGGGAAGGAAACAAAAAAAAAGGTAGTACAGCATCGTCGATAATCAGTCAGGCTAGGTTTTTCGGCCAAGGTCTGTACTCTAGTCCTGCCAACATCAGTCCATTGACGAGCTTCGAGCTGGAGCTTGCGGAAGACCATCTTGACCAAAGAGGCCAAAATTCTTGTGGTTGTGGCCGGATTGTTACATTTTGCAGGGTCAGTTAACACTTATAATGGCCTTCCTTCTGCCGCTGACTGGAGCTGCGCTGAGTGACCAAAGAGGTCAGAAGAACATCCACTAACTGCTCTTAGCCAGGTTCAGTCCTTTTTGGATGGTTTTTTTTTTCTTTCGCGGCATGTATATTGTTCCATGGATTTTGTACTTTAAATGAATGGAAGTGGGTAATATATGTTGCCGTAAGTTGAAATCTTGCTTGTGTGCAAAAAAGTCAGTAAGGTTGTACTACTACATTGGAGATGTGGACTGAATGTGTCTGTCTGTCAAGTGTAGAGGAAGCTAGCGATGAAAGTGAATCAAAACTAGTAAGAAACAGAACAACTGACTGTACAATGCTGGAATGCTCGGCGATCAGCACGCCCGTCCATCCAGTGTACTCCTGCCGTAGCGCCGAGCAGCTAGCCGGGAGATCCTCCCGGCGGTCCAGCCACCCCCTGACCGGCTTTGGCCTGTGCTCATCTTCGTTGTTTCCGTGCCATGGAGAGTACTGAAAGTGCAGAACAGGTTTGTCTGTCTAAGAGTGGTAACCGTCAGCTGAATTGCCGATGCATGTTTTTCTTCTCCGTGTGCAGAATTCTTGTAGCGAGCTGTGAGCAACTATATAACATCATGCTGCTGGGTCAGTCGACACTCATAATCCAATCCTTGTCCTGACTGGAGCTGCTGCACTGAGTGACCAAAGCGGTCCGGAGAACAATGGCTGACTACTGTTAGCTAAGTTCAGTCCTCCTTTTCATGGTTTTTCCTTCGTCAACGATGGTCATGGACACGGTTCTCCAATCGCGGAATCATCAATGTGATGTGGCGATAGATAATCGCTCAAGCTTTGGGATGTCGATTACCACTCTCCCTCAAGTAGACAGACAGACAAAAGGCACACCATCTTTCAGAGAGAAAAAAAAAACAGTTCTGAACTTCTCTGCACTTCCACTCTCACTGGCAAGGAAACGACTGACTACTTCTGATCCAGTTTCATCGCTAGCTACCTCTACACTTGACTGACAGACACACACACACAGATTCAGTCCACATCTCCAATGTAGTAGTATAAAATCCATGGAACAATATACATCGAAGCCATGAAAGAAAAAGACCATCCAAAAAGGACTGAACCTGGCTAACAACACTCAGTACATGTTCTTCTTCTGACCTCTTTGGTCACTCGGACTCGGTGCAGCTCCAGTCAGCAGCAGCAGGAGCCGAGCCAATTATAAGTGTCGACTGACCCTGCAGAATGTAACAATCCAGTCACAACCACAAGAACTATAAAGACAGGCAGCACTATGCCTCGGTCACGATCATCTTCCGCAGGCTTCAGCTCGAAGCTCGTCAATGGACTGATGCTGGCAGGACTAGAGTGCAGGCCTTGGCTGAAAGACCTTGCGAGCCTCACTGATTATCAATGATGTTGTACCTTTTTTTTGCTTCTATACATTGTTTGAACCCTTCTGAGGGCAATGAAAATAGTGCTAAGTGCTAACTGCATTTCGTCCCCGAAAAAATGGCAGCGGAATTCAGCCTAATTGTTACTTGTACTTGAGACAACATCAGTAAGGACCAAGAGCAGATGCAAGAAATGGCGCCAGCAAGAGGCCTCACGACACCTCCTTATTTGATCTCCCTAACCGCATCCTCGAGTTTTCCGGACCGCTTTGGTCACTCAGTGGCGGTTCATCAGCTGAGCTGACCCCACATGGCTCTTTCCCATTCGCTTCAACTACATCCTCACTGGGGATGTATCTGAAAGAGAAAGAACACGCCTGATAAGAATTCATGAAACTTGTAGATCAACACAGCAGATACATTCTTTTTAAAGCAGGCACAAACAACAAAATCTTTCATAGAATCATCATACAACTAAACTGCAATTTACATTCAGTATTCACACATCTATATATTCACAGGGGGGGAGGGTACATTTGTCGACAGCCTATTAGTTAGTGATCATCCAATTAGTAAAATACCCAAGAAGATTTTGTTGTCCGAAACATGAGAATGCCGTGTTGCCTACTTAACTCAATACTCTGTAACAAGAAATTTCATTTTGCAATTTCCAAATGAGCAAGCACTCCAAAGAGTAACATCATTGAAGATCCACAGAAGGTGTATATCATTGGCGTTGATAGCATGATGTGAATCCACAGAATGTTTGAAATGACTGCGGCAGGTTATAGATGATCCCATATGAGCCATGTCAGCAACTCGGCCAATGGTTCCTTCCAACTGGCTATTTGAAGTTAACCAAACTGTAGTGGTGGCGACTTGTGCGCATACCCATTGTGCCATCCAGTGCAGACGGCGGCTGATAATACATGATAATTTTGCCTCCAATTTGTTGGAAGAAAAACCGGGCTACCCAAACAGTGACTTGCTCATACCAAGGATTTGGTAACCGAGCGAAATTTCCATTTACCGAGCAGTTACCGCGATTATCGATGCCCCCCGGTAAATGGGCCTACCGAGCAAATTATACCGGCCCGTTTGAATTTTTTGCACGGCCCAGCCAAGCCAGAGGAAGCCTACACACACCGGAACACAACCACGCAGGAAACCTAGCCGTCTTTCTCCCCAAATCGAGTCCCCGCAAGAAATAGGCTGCTGGGCGTGAGTGAGACGGCGGCGGCGGCGTCGCCCAATCCGCCCTTAGATCTCTTTCTCACAGCAGCGCCACCGTGATCTCACCGCTTCACATCGTCCACCTGGGGCGCCCTCCGGCATGGCGGGTGTTGGAAGGGGGATGGGGCGGGGCAGTGGCGATGGCGATGGCGGGTTGCGAACAGTGGGGGTCGTCGCCGGCGTCCATATCCCATTCCCAGATCAAGAGGCTATTCTCGCGTGTCATGGGAGAGGTCATGGCAGCGGCAGTGCAACTATCCCCGTCGGCCGTTCATCGGGAGGACAAGCAACGGGATTTCTGGATGACATCAACCGAAGCGGATTTGCCACCGGGGTGGCTCGTCAGGGTGGCATAAGCAGAGGCCCGGAGGTTCCACTGCCGATTAAAGAACCAACTAAAGGTAGGGTTGTGTCCTTGTGGATCTACGTTCATTTTTGTTTCTAATTTCCTGTCTAGTATGCTTTCATTTTGTCTTGAATCAAACTAGTTTACAGAAATAGAAGTAGTCCCAAATACCAGTATTTACTAGGTGGATCAACTTCTTTTGTAGTAATGTGCAGCAGGTTACACACTTCACTCGGCCTAGTTAACTGAAAGCACATATCCAAGAGATGCAACTAAGCTGTGTAACTTCACTCGACTTATACCTGAGTAGAAGAACCCAATATGCCCGCTATAACTAAACGCTTCACCTTATTTTATAGAAGTTGTCGTAGTCAATCCAAGTTAAATGGAACATAATTACATAAGCTTCTGTATTTTGGTTTAAGGTAATGCAAATGATGTAACAAACATATGGTGTCATGGGAAATCATTGGAAGGACAAGCATGGGAGTGTGGATATTGTGCTTTACTTAGACATGGTGGGGGTGCAACCCGATTCAAGCAGCATATAGCTGGATTGGGCCCTCATGTCTTCTCTTGCATGAATGCACCTCATCATGTAGTTGCCATTTTTCGGAAAGCCATTCCAGAGGGAGAGGCCCGAAGGAGGACTTCCAAAGAAGGAAAGAAAAGAGTGGTAGATGAGGTCAATCATATAAACAGTCAAGGTGCATCAATACATATTGATTGTGAAGATGAAGATGATGAGATACTCCAGCAGACCCTACGAAATTCATTACGTGGAGATCATGGGAGAACCAGCGTTGTTAAAGGAAGTGTAGGGAGCAGCTCAAGTGGTGTCAAAGACTTTTTTGACGTTGATTTGGCATATAGCAAGACTAGGCCACAACAGACAATGGAGGCGTGTATTAACAAGGTGGAATACGAATCTAGGATTGGGAAGGCTTGGGCAAAATGGTTTCATGCTAATGACATCCCTGGGCACAAAGCCAATTGTCCATACTTTGTAGGAGCAATAAAATTGACTCAAGACCTTGGCAAAGGGGTGCCTGCCCCTAAAGGGATAGATATTGATGGAATATATTTAAATACCAACTATGAAGAGTTGCAGCAGTATGTGGCCAATTTCAAAGATGATTGGCCCACATATGGTGTCACTATCATGTCAGATTCGTGGACTGGCCCTTCACGGATGATCATTATAAACTTTATGGTGTTCTCCAATGGGCGTATGTATTTCCACAAATCTGTTAATGCCACTGGACACATGCAAAATTCAAAGTTTGTGTATGAGCACATCAAAGAAGTGATTGAAGAGATAGGGCAGCAACATGTTGTCCAACTCGTGACCGACAATGGCTCTAACTTCAAGAAAGCATGTCTTGACCTTGTTGCAGATTTCCCACACATCACATGGTAGCCATGTGCAGCTCACACCATTAACCTCATGCTGAAGGAGATGGGATGCTTTCCTGAGATTAATGAAGTGGTTAGTAGTTGTAAGAGAATTTGTAGATTCATGTACAATCATTCAACTTTGCATGCTGAAATGCAGAAGCACATAGGTGAAGAGTTGGTGCGACCGAATGCCACAAGGTTTGGAACTAACTTTATGTTCCTAGAAAGCTTTTGGGATAAGCAAGAGAAATTCCAAGTGTGGATGACATCTCCAGAGTGGAAAAATAGCTCATGGAGTTCCGAGGTTGATTATGACTACACATATGATTGTTTGATAAGTAGGACCTGGTGGAATGGTGTGAAGCGGGTGCTGGATTTAATTGGCCCAATATATAGCATACTTCGATATGCTGATTCACAAAAGCTTGGGTCACTTTCTGGCTTTATGACAAAGATGATGCATGCTAGGCATCAATTGAGTTCATTGTTTTCTCATGATTCTCTAGACCAACACGGGTACCTAAATGTGGTTGACAAAAGGGTTGAGCATTTATACAAAAACACATTGATGGTTGCAGGTAATAGTTCTTGCTGCCATAGAATTGTTATTGTTGGTAAAATGCTAATTATTCTTATTGCTGTCATTTCTATGGTCGTTGCAAACTAATTCTTGTTGCCCTGCTGTCTTTCCATTCTATAGCCGGTGTTCTGGACCCGGCAAGTCACTACAAGTATAACTTTGGAAAAAGTCTATCACACATGAGGGCACTCAATGCAGCACTTAAGAAGTTGGCTAGTCCTTCAGAGTTCATTGCTATGATTCCTGAAGTTCACTCTTATGTCAATACAAGAGGGGCTTTTGAAGGCATGTACCCTCGTAGTGCAGCTGAAAAGGTGTCCCCAACTGAGTGGTGGATAACATTTGGAGATACTACACCGGTGCTTCAAAAGTATGCTATTCAGATTGTTTCTCAATGCACCTCTTCAAGCGGTTGTGAGCGGAATTGGAGCACATACGCTTTAGTGCATACACTAGTGAGGAACCGTCTTGGTTTTGAAAAGTTGCACAAGATGGTTTTTTGCCACTACAACCTTGGGCTGCGAATCCGACTAATTCTTGGTGAGACAAAAGAGAAAGAGGTTGATACTTGTGCGTTGTTGATGAATACCTCTCTCTATGATTGTAACAACGAAATCATGGATTGGCTGGGCAACTCAACAAGTGATTCCATGCAAGATGAGGATGCGTATGATGGTGATGGTGATTGTCCAGTGGTCGTAGAGGTGGGACAAAAGAGAACTAGAGGAAGTGGGATGCCTCCAAGTGAGGAGGAAGAGGAGGAAGAGGAGGCAGAGGATGTAGATGATGGGGAGGATGATGAAGGTCAAAGCCCTTTAGTTTATATTAACATTATATGAATTTGTGTGGTTCAAGTGCTAACTTGTAATTTTTGTAGGTAACAATGACGTGCTGCCTAACGAAAACAGTGAACCTCTGCGGAAGTCTACAAGGAAAAGGAGGAAGAGGAAGGTAATAATGAAGTGCTAACTTTGTCTGTTTGCTTGCTGCCACCCAAAATTTTATATGCTTACTGCTATCTCATGCCATGCATCCATTTATTATATATTGTCAACAAATTCTAAGACATGATAATATAAACAAATTTGTTTGCTAACAACATGACATCTAATTTGCTCACTGGCAGCTTGATTCGTTTTAACGAAGGAGACTTGCAAGTCTAGAAGGAACTGAATGACAATTTGGTTTGTTGCTCAATGCTATGTACTGTGTAATTGACCGAATCGATGGTCTTTTGTTATGGGACTGTAATATATACTGGCTGCACTTCTTTTGTTGTTGGACTGCTATGTGTCTTCCTGTGTCTAATCTTAAGTTTAGTCTCTAAAGTCTGAAGCTATATTATTAGACTGCAATCTCGTGGGCTTGTGGCTGATGGTTTATGAGAATTGTATATTTTTGTTGGTCGTTCTATTGTTATATGTGTTGTGGGTCTCTTAAGGCCAGTTACTATTGCTATAAACTGCTTATATGCCATCAATATAGGGGTGATGCTGTCAAAATTTCAAAAAAAATAGTTTTGGTGTTAAAATTTTTGAATTCAAAAAATTTCATTCGAAATTTTCTCGGTATTTCATGGTAACCGTGGTAACCGCATTTATCCGTCCCCCTCGGTAAAATTGCCTCATTCGGTAACCAAAATCTTGGCTCATACTCAATAAACAGCTCATGCAGACAGATGCGATCCGGTGTGTTGATGTAGACCAGGCCGCGAGAGATGGACGGAAAAGACGACCGCAACATCAGAGGCGGCTCAGACAGATGAGGCAGCCACGGCGTTGTAAGCCGGTGCGGGCGGGAGAATCGGCCACGGGTGCAGACGAGTGAGTTGTCTGCGGTGTTGTAAACCAGTGCAGATGAGAGAGTCGGCCACGGCATTTTAAGCCGGTGCCGTTGGGCGAAGCCGCGGGGACGGGTGAGTTGTCTGCGGTGTTGTAAACCAGTGCAGATGAGAGAGTCGGCCACGGCATTTTAAGCCGGTGCCGTTGGGCGAGTCAAAACCGCGCGGATGGGTGAGTTGTTTGCGGTGTTGTAAACCAGTGCAGATGAGAGAGTCGGCCACGACATTTTAAGCCGGTGCCGTTGGGCGAGTCAATCGCAGGCACGGTAAGTCGCGCGGATGGGCGAGTCAATCGCATTGTGTTGATTTAGCGAGGGCGGCGACCTGCGCACGTACTCGCCAAGCAGCACAGAACGGACAAGTGCTAGTGCAAAAATAATGATGGTGCACGCCCCTTGTGCGACACCTTTGTAATAAACAATAGTCCTGCGAAAAAATATCACAGACCAGAGTGATTGTTCTTTGATAAAAACAACCAGAGTGATTGTTCTTTCATAAAAACAATATGCATTAAAGATAGACAAGATATCACCTGGTATTTATTTGTCGGATGAACATGGATACTGGGATCAAAACATATCAAATGTCTGATGTCTCCACGTGACCTTCTCCTTTTGTCTTAATCTCACATGGAGGACCTGATTGAAGTGCCAGCGTGTGCACGCACTGCTCTTTGACAACAACGTACAAACCCCGGCCTCATGAGTGAAACGCCAAAAACGCCTGCAGCCTCTGCGCGCCGCGCTGCATTTTTTTTAAATCTTCCTTTTTGATTTTCCTTGTCCCATCTTCCAATCGAATCCCCAAATTTTCTTTCTGCAGACGGCAACCAACACGCAAGGGCGCAACAGCTTCGGAAGCAAAAACAAGCAGGGGCAGGGGCGCAGGCCACGGGAGTTGCAGGGCCAGCCGCCCCGCCGGCCCAGCTTGGAGACCGGCCAGCGGCGACTTATGGCGCGGAGGCGGCGACTTAGACAGCCGCAGGGGCGAGGGCGCCTTCCAAGCGGACGGCTCGGAGGAGAGTTACGGGTGAAGCTCTGGCAATTCGGTTTCTCAACATCTCAGGTGGCCGGGCGGCTTGAGGCCATGGCGGCTCAGCGGCGGTGAGGGCAGCTCATGGTGCGGACGACTCTCCCCTGTACACTCACCGCGCAGCAGTGGTTCACAACACGGAGGCCGAAAAGAACTGTGGCGGCCCCTGGTGGAGCGAGGTTTCGGCAGAAGTGGTCGCTCGAGGCCCCGATGGAGACGGCAGCTCAGCTGAAGGTGGGTCGCACGGCGCGTGAGCGGGAGGCCGCGGCGGAGGCACGTGGGCTAGTGGTTGAGGGCAGCTCACAGGAAAAGCGAAGTGCAGATCGGACCGGCGAAGCCCAGCAGATCCACAGCAGAAGCCATGCTGCGTCAGCAGCCATGCAGAGTGCGGGTCGTGGTCGGTTGGTCGAGTCTTCCTCTGAATCGTGGACTCCCCTTCTTCTTTTTTTATCCAAGCGCCTACCATAACCATTACCCGTAGGAAGTAGAATTCCAATTTAAACATGGTAGTGCTCTTTTAAACAATGCAGCTTTGATCCTTGTGCTCATCAAGTACTAGTACGATGGTTAATGGAAACGTCTTTTAGCTTTCGGATTAGCTTCTGGACTTTGTAATTTATCCTGTCGCGGTTCTCCCCAGGATTGAGACGGATATTCTATTCAACTGTTGCCTGCTAGTTCTCAGTTGATCTCCGCATGCAGTTGGCCGATACTCACAGCAGTACTGGTACTTGTTTTAATCTCCACTTGATTTATCTTTGTATCCACGTGAACTGGTAGTACTAACCAGCCTTGGGACTTGAACCTGTAATCCAGCCGTAGCAACTTGGCGGATCGGACAGCGGAAATCTTTTATCCGTTTCGATGGAAACTGTGACTTGACATCTCGCAGGAATCGGCGAAACCAATCTCTCGTCGGTTTGGACAGATTGTCTCGCGTCGGCAGCATACATAACACAAACCCTAATTTC